AGGTTGTTAGTGGAGTCCTGTATGATGCATAAAACAAGGAATAACAGAACTGAAAAACGCTGCGCATTGTGGCAGCACAAAACCTCTCGCGAGTTCATCCTTCTCCACGATCTCTCTCTCTCTGATTTGATCGATCGGCAACTACATAGACTGATGCGCAGACCGATAGGTACTGCATTAGATGGAAAATTGCGTCCGGACCATTCCGTCTGGACGATTGGGGACGGTTCGATGGTGTTTAACTTGAGCCAAAAGTTATATGCCCTCATATTGAGAGGGTGTACTATATCGGGTCTTTTTTTGTAAAAAAGATCATCTATTATAAAGATTCACCGGAAGTACAAAGCACCTCAAACATAATAAAAGTTACATCGAGATCCATGGACCATTGAACGACCCTTGCCGACGCTAGAATGAGTCGCGGATGCACTGCTGTCGCTGCTCCCATACTGAAGCCGGACTGACATTGTCAACGACAGCCGGGAAGTCTTCGTGCAAGTGCTCCAAAGAACCAGCGCCACGGAGCCGCAGTCTTCGCCGCTGAATCCTTGAATCAATCTAAAGAATCTGACACTGAATATCGCCGTTACGAACGCGCGGTGAGAAACCTAACCTTGCCGCCCCAAGGAGCTGACAAGAATCTAAGCCAGAGCTCCGTTTAATCCGTCCCAATGGGCGAACTTGAGGAGGATCGGAGACTGGAAAACTGACTCGAAGAAGGAGCGCCACCATTCGTTCAAACACTGCTCCTGCGAGGACTAAAACCCTACCTATCTACTAGCGGGAGCCGAGACACCAGGATTCTCCTCCCTGCCGCCGGCTGCCGGAGCGGCAGGTGGAGGGAGGCGAATCCACGAGGTCATGGTCGGAGATCGAAGGGAGGAAGGCTTTTCTACTATACTGGGTCTTTGCCGACACGTATTATGACAATCAATGATATTTGTGTGGTGTAGTACAGATCTCCTCTGGAGCTAGTCAGATATTATAAACCTCCTGTATGAACATGTTTGTTAATGTTTAGATTACTACACATGATATTACACTACTTCCTTAATGATTCATGGGTCATGGCTATGTAAATTTATTTTAATTTCACCATGTAAATGTTTAAAATGACATGTGCAACGAAGAAGCGAGTATGTACCAATTAATTAAGCACCTAAACACAAGCAAACAAATAAAGTTCAGCATTATCCTTGGTGTCATTCGAGGAGAAATATATATTTGTTTTTTCAGAAAGAAAGACAAAATAAAACTTCCGATCTGGATACAATATATATAGTCTTGCATGGAAGTTGTATAATTACTTCCGATCTGGATACAATATATATATTTGATTCGCCGCGCCCCCAAGAAAGTTCCGCGCCCAGCTGCGCCTGTGTCCACCTGTCCACCAGGCAGATTTCCACGCCTCACGAGCAAGGTGCTCGGTCGTGGGCTACGATTGTCGCAGGCACTCCTCGCCCTCCAACCATGCCCCCGTCGATGGACTTGTTTCATGTCAATGACGACAGCCTCAGGACGGTGTTCGCTGATCAGGCACACCTCCTGCAGGGGGACCTACAAGCCGACCTCATCGCAGTTGTTGTGCCGTTGAAGGAGAAAGCCTCCAATCTCCATCAATGTGTATTGCGCGCGTTTTCCTTCGTGGAGAGGATAGAAGCCGTGTTGGATCACTTTGAGGCTCTCTTGGCATTGACCCCTAGTGATCGCCTGACTCGTCCCGTGGAATGTTGCATCATCCCTCTTGTGGAGGATCTTCTTGGTGCAACACTGCCGTCGGGACCGATGGACATCGATTCACAATATGATCCTATGCTTGATGAAGCATTGGCGCCGCCTCCTCAAATACAACCTACTACTTGGTGTGATGAGGTGGACCCTATTGTTTCATCAGTGGGGAGCAACGAGTTTGTTGACCCAATGTCTTCGGAGGCTACGATCTGTTTGTCCCACCCTGCTGGCTCCTCCCAGACCACTGATGTGCTTTTTTGGCACATTCGATTCCTTGCTCGATGGAGCCTCTTGGTTTCAACACGGAGCACACGACACGTCTGATTCCTTGCTCGTAAGAGCCGCTTGGTATCTACACGGAACACATGATGGGGACCTCCGACAAGCCCAGTGTTGTGGCGGAGTCGCATGTTGACGCTATGTGCTCGGAGGCTACGCTCGGGTCCCCATGCCCTGGAGGCTCCTCCTTGTCTTCAATGGTGCAGTCCCTTGCATGTCCGATGCCGAGTCCAAAGGAGCCGCTTGGCCTCAACGTGCCCAATGTTCTCATGGAGCCTGTGGTTGTGGTGTCCAATGTTGTTGTGAAGGTGGCGCAAACCGAAGCTGCACCTTTATTTCTGGAGGATTTTCTCAAGAAAGTTACTCGTCAGCCTCTACAACCTCTGCTTGGGATCCCGGTGCCTTTGTAGTGGAGGAAAAATGACAGGAGGCGGAGCGGGCGTCTTGATAAGAAGAACAAGGCATGCAACATCACGACATAAAAGCACGTAGAGTACAAGATGTTGGAGGCTTTTGGTGAGCTGCCGGAGGTCAGCAAAGCTGAGGGTCCAGAGCAAAAGATGCAAGCATACCTGGACATGTACAAAAAACTGCTCTCACCGCAAGTGATCGAGGCGTTGGGCACTTTGGTGAGGATCACAGGGAAGTCGAAGTTGGATCTCTCCGGATGTTTTCCACAAGATCATGTTAGCACTTGATTCTTTGAGGCCGACATAGAAGAGCCATTCGATATGGGTGGTTTCCCTTCGGCGAGTGGCGGTCAGGTTGGCTGCACTTGAGCCTCGCCAAACTGCTTTGGGTCTAGGCGCTCTAGTGTCTGGCTCTGACGATGTTCCTTGATGCTACATTTGCTTTTGTCTTGTCCCTGTCCCCAAATTCTAGTGCTCTTTTTTCTCTTTTTTTTTCTTTCCATTTTTAGGTTTTTATTCGGTTTTCCCTGATTAACCGAGAATGTTAGGTTTTTGGGTTCGGTTTTCCTTATAAATAGGAACACCTCTCTTCTTCTTAATGAAATGTAGGAACCCGTGCCCCTCTTGAGGTGTTCTAAAAACACTTTAGAAAAAACTGAAGCAGAGGCAAAGTCAAAGTTGAAGCAAAGTCAAAGTTGTATAAATTTTAGAAGGGAGTGCAAAGTAAAACTTCAAATATTATATGACCACTTTAGTTTTGCATGAAAGTTGTGTAATCACTTTAAGCGGATGGCCAACAAAAGTTGTCTAGTAATAGAGTAACGCCACCGTGGATCATGTATATTCTACAAAATGGCTAGTTGAAGCAGATTCATCCTTAATGTATTGTGGATTTCCACCAGCCGTTGACGTTATTTTTTTCATCTTTTTTCGGAAAGGAGGGTTTACCCCCGACCTCCATGCATTATGCACACAACCATATAATATCAAGTTTAGGGTACTAAACATCCACAGTATCTTACATAAGTAAAAAAGGAAAAGAACTAAAAACTCGAAGCAACTATGCTAAATAAACGTGGCACAACATATACGGCTATATCTGCCTGCAGTTTACTTGAAATACAATCATCATAGAAAAGAAAACCAATCCTAACAGAACATATTGTCTTGCATGCATGTGTATAAGCCAACTCGATGTATATTTTCAGTGGATCTGTCAGCTCTTCACATGGGTAAGACCACTACCACAATCAGCACTCCTATATTGCATGCAAAGCTGGTGAAGCTGGGCTGTTGTTTTCTGACTTGATATGAAGTCTGACGGAAGAGATCACTTGGCATCTGACGCACGTACGGTTTGGCAGTCAGAGCACAAAGGACCGAGTAGTTCTACACGTGGCTCAATGAAGATGGGTGTGTTTTTTGATCCGACAGCTGCTACCTCCAATGGAACAGTAACAAATGGAACAGTATCTATCACCTTATCTTTGCAATTTCTCAACGCACACATCGTAAACGGAGTATGTACGGAGTACTACCTACCAGAACGTCTTAATGACCAAAACACGCTTCTAGTAGTACGTGTTAATTACTACCTTCGTCCCGATTTATTAGTCCCCCTTTATAATTTATGCTAAATTTACACTAATAATTTAACTGAGAAAATGTTAGTGCATGTTAACAAAAAATATATCGCTGAATTCGTATTTGAACATAGTTTCAATTATATAATTTTTTATGACATGCATGAACATTTTATTACTTAAATTTACGGTGAAAATTTAGCACAGATTACAATAAAGACCAATAAATCAGGACGAAGGTAGTAAACGGGGAAGTACGAGATTGCTCATTTATATTTTGGAAGTGGATGAGGGGTTAGTCGACAAAGTGCACAAATGCACGGCGGATCTGATAAAACATTAAAATGGGAAAAGCAAGGGCCAACAAAACAGAAGCTCGATCTAAAGATGGAAGCAGGCGGATGTATTGTTTCACTGATCTAGATAATAAATTTACCTGACAAGCAAACAATCTGTTGTCAATCTACCTGAGTGTCGATGCAGTTAACGATCGATCGAACGCCTAATATGATAGGGATTAGGGACTAGCTGATCTCCATCACTATTTTTTTCAACAAATAAGAAAAAGAAGAGGTTTATTGCAGGCAGCAGGAAATAGAGGTTTATTTTGACAGATCTCGGTGATCCGGGCGACCAAGTGTGACCAAAACGACGGAAAAGATGAACAGATAGGGTCTTAGAAAGCTAAGATTTAACAAAACAAAATCTACAGACAGGTTCTAAGCCAAATCGATTTGCCCAGGAAACCTGCTCCAGTATAAGCGCGTGAACCCAAAGAGGGGAAATTAGATTCACGGATTGAAAGGGCATCGGTTCGATTAATCGGCCCAAACCTGGATGGGTTTACATCTAGAGCTCCTATTAGCGTTGTTGCGGTTGGCCGATCTATGCACGCACTGTGGAGAGAAACAGCCAGCGTTGGTTTAGTTACGCACCATGAGGAGCTTGAGAACTCGAAGAGGCGGCCGCGGCCGGAGAAGATGATGAGGGCGACCTCGGCGTCGCAGAGCAGCGAGAGCTCGTAGGCCTTCTTGAGCAGCCCATTCCGGCGCTTGGCGAACGTCACCTGCCGGCTTATCTTGTTCTCGATCCGCCTCATCTCCACCTTCCCCCGACCCATCTCCTCCTCCTCCTCTCTTTCTTTCTCTCTCTAAGTCTCCTTTTATTTTCCGCAGCCAGCAGAGCGATGTCTGATCATATGCTTGCTCGGTGCGCCTAAATAGTCTCTCTCTACAAATCTCTCGACTGTCAATCGCCAGTTCACCACAGGTCGACCGCTTATTAGCTCGGCCACCCTCTCCGTCCCTTCTCTCGGGCGCGCGTACTGTAGCTTTAGGGTGGTGGTGGGACAGCGGGTGCGTGAAATGATTGATGAATCCATGACTTGATGTTAGATTAGTTCGTACCGACGCACGAGCTGAGGTGAACCCGCTTGCTGACGAGGCAACAGTGCGTAGCGACGGATCCAAGCCAAAGGAAGGCGTCGCAGTAAAGGTGAGACGCGCACGGCAGCTCACGCTCGCCGAGCTGGAAGATAGACACTACTGTAGCTCTCGATCCATCGAGGCGGAAGAGGACGGGTGGCACGTGTCGACGAGCGTGTGGAGGAACAGAAGAGTGATGTAACCAAACCACCAGCACCGGCAGCTGGCACTGCTATACCTAGCTAGTATCACTTGTACCCAAATGCTTGTGCGCCATTCGGTTGCTGCGAGTCCCTTGCCACGTCCTGCTTGTTGGGCTTCGGTAGTAGCACTTCGCTAGTAGGCTGGTTGTAACGGGGAGTATTATATACTCCCTCCGATCCTATCTAGGCTGGTCACAATGGGTAAGAACATAAGCTAGTAACTTACACACTTCCCTAGATTATGTTACTACCTCTATAGTGGGTAGGAACATCTATGTAGTGTCATGCAACGATGTATTTATTAGGTTGTAGACTCATTGTTTCTTGGAGTGTGTGATGTTCCGGTAACTTAGCTAGTTACCACAAGTACCCCTTTCTTCATTAAATACATGCCACATAAGCAAAGTTATATTGAAGTGTGTGATGTTACTCCTAACACTAGTGTAGAACCGGGCAATATCACCGGTTCTAAAGGCCCTTTAGTGCCGGTTACATAACCGGCACTAAATTGTGGTCACTAAAGCCCACCCCCCCCTTTAGTACCGGTTCAGCACGAACCGGTGCTAAAGGGCAACCACGTGGCACGAGCCAGCTCCGGGGGCCTGGAGCCCTTTAGTACTGGTTGGTAAGACCAACCAGTACTATAAGGTTTGGGGGGTTTTTAGTTTTATGATTTCTTTTTCATTTAATTTTGTGTTTCCATTTTAATTCTTTTTCGTATGCTGGTATTTTACGATACTACACATTGTACACGTTATGCATATATATATATATATATATAAATAGAATTTCTAGTAGAACCAATCATCGAGTTCAACATGATTGTCATGATATAAGCGTTCATATATAACACCACAAAAGCAAATCACTTAAGTTCAGAACGAAGAACACAGACATGAAAGGACAAGTACTAATTAAGAGCAGCATGAAGAATTAGCTAAATCACTCCTGCTAGCTACTCTCTCTCTGGTAAAATAGCATAGAACATGTATAGCTCTCCTGATTGATCATACTGGAGCATGTCGATGAACCTGTCTCCTAATCGTGGGCTGCGCTTCTCATTGCTGCCCCGTAGTACTTCTCTGCGATCATTAACAATTTCCCTCCAATCTTTCACTATTAAGCATTCATCGCTTCTAGAAATCTTGAATACATTCATGTGCAATGCAGGATATCTTGGCCGTAAGCTAACAATTGACATCTGACCTTTAGTCTCGATCCCCTGAGGCACAACTGTCATTGGGAGTCCCTGTTGAAGAACATCGTATAGTACTTAATTAATATACTTATCAATGAAAGTTTAGCAAAAAAAATATGTATGCAAAATATGCACTGAGGACAAATAGTAAATATCTTATCATCATTCCTAAATAGATGTGACCGTAGTTCAATACCATCACTATTGGTCCCACGTTTTGAGTACTAACATTTCTAAGTGCAGGAAGAAAATTTGTCTTGACAGTATGAAGATCCTCAAGCCATGAAACATAATGACTTATCTCCTCGCAGTTTAGTTCAGCGCCGGGACAGTAGTAGGTCCTGTCTACCAAGTGCCGGACATGTTTGGTTGAATGGAGATAAGTTATCAATAGAAATTAGTTGTCAGTTATTTTTGAATAAGCAATATCAAAGACAAAAATATAGTTGAGAAGAACTCACATAATGGTAGAACTGGAGGCGTCTGCACATCGACCCATATGTCTCTATTACCTTCAATATCATCTTCCGGACGAATATCAAAGGTGATAACCATACCAGGCTCAAATGCATAAGCCTTGCATAGTGCTTGCCAAGTTTTGCATTCAAAATAGATGTACGTGTGTGCATTGTATACTTTGACGTTGAAAGTATAACCATCATGCTCAATTCTCAGGTAAGCTCTCTTTACCTCCATAGTTTCCATATCTTTGAAACCTATCTTATCCAAGACAAAAATTCTTGCATGGCAGGGGATGCGCTAGTAGAATAGTGAAAATTAAAAATTATAAGTTAGGCAAATGAAGCATATATAAGTCATGCTTAATTACGAAAACATACTTGTCGTTATGACTTACTGTATCGAATTCGACAGTCTCATCCAGCTTGATGCTGAATCGCCTACCATCAACAAGGAAATTTCTGTCGCATTGGCCGCGCTGGTCTTCACAGTATTCGCACATAATGAAATTTTTTCCGCCGTCAAACAACATTTCCTATGTTCATATTAGGCGAAACATTAAAAACTTACTAATTCAATTAATTCAACTACTTCTATTAATTCAACTAAGCATTTACTAAAAATAAACTAGTTATATTAATTCAATTAGTTCAACTAAGCATTTACTAAAAATAAACTAGTTCTATATATTAATTCAACTAGTTCAACTAAACATTTATTAAAAATAAACTAGTTATATTAATTCAACTAGTTCAAAGTAAGCATTTACTAAAAATAAACTAGTTATATATATTAATTCAACTAGTTTAACTAAACATTTACTAAAATAAACTAGTTATATTAATTCAACTAGTTCAAAGTAAGCATTTACTAAAAAAAACTAGTTCTATATATTAATTCAACTAGTTCAACTAAACATTTACTAAAAATAAACTAGTTATATTAATTCAACTAGTTCAAAGTAAGCATTTACTAAAAATAAACTAGTTCTATATATTAATTCAACTAGTTCAACTAAACACTTACTAATTCAATTAATTCAACTACTTCTATTAATTTAACTAAGCATTTACTAAAAATAAACTAGTTATATTAATTCAATTAGTTCAACTAAGCATTTACTAAAAATAAACTAGTTATATTAATTCAATTAGTTCAACTAAGCATTTACTAAAAATAAACTAGTTCTATATATTAATTCAACTAGTTCAACTAAGCATTTACTAAAAATAAACTAGTTCTATGTATTAATTCAACTAGTTCAACTAAGCATTATATT